CAAAAAATGAAGCGGGAATCGGGGGACAAGAAAGAAGAACCTACGTGATTTCCCCCAAAATTCATACCATATTCTTCCCCCAAAATTCATACCATTCTCTTCGGACTACCCGGTGAGCTTAATTGAATGGTGAACCCCTCAACTACGTGTATAGCCTGGTTGTAATTTGACAACGCCGATCATCATCTTCATCTTCTTCAATTGTGGCTTCGTTTGACCGGCCTATCCAGCTTACTTGTCGTCGAAAAGGCTGCAAAACGTCATCCAAATGATCATCTTCCTTTAGTTCAGTTTCCAGCTTCTTCCGATGGACCTTCGAGCTTCGTCTTCATTTTTCAGTTGTATTCTATTTGAACTTGAAGCTGGTTGTCTTCCTTCAATCTAACTTCACTCAAGCTTCTGAACGTATCATCCAGCTTCTTTCAGTGCAGCATCAAGCTTCGTCTGACCAACCCAACTTCTTGCTCCAGCTAGTGTAAACCTGTAACCCGACCCATTAAAAGGTGTTAGCACTTTGGTTTAATACATTATTTAAATTTCTGGAATTTGTATAATATGGGAATTTCTGGAATTCGTATGATATGGAATTTCTGGAATTTGTATAATATGGAATATCTGGAATTTGTATCACCCAAAATATGAATGCACCCATTTATGAAACCATATATTTCTCTATTTTTTCGTCAAACTGGGGGGTAGTGATTTGTTTCGGTGTGTAGTTGTGCGATGTTCACATTTTGCTGATCTTGAATGATTTTATATTTCACAACCAAAGAAATCATGGATGACGTGGATAATTATATTTTGGTGGAATCAGAAAACGAGAACATGGAAAACAATATGAACCAACTGGAAGATGAAATGGTAGTAAGCCCAAGGTCGGAATGACGTTCAAGAATGAGAACTTGTTTGATTTCTACAAGGCATATGCCTATGCCGTTGGTTTTCTAGTCAGGAAATAGAATTCCAAAAAGGATGACGATAGAATGTTGAAATATCTGATTTTGACATGTAGTCGGGAAGGCAACAGAAGTGGTACTACAAGTGGCTCTTTGAAACGTCAACCGACAATTCAGATGGGATGTAAAGCTAGAATATCTACATCTTCGGATATTCATGGCTTTTGGAGAATCAACACAGTCTGTCTACAGCACAATCACAAAACAAGTACGACGAAATCGAGGTTGTATCGTTGCAATCGGGAACTGAGTGCGCATGTCAAAAGGAAGCTTGAAGTGAATGATCTAGCTGGCATTCCATTGCACAAATCCTACAACGCGGCAGTGGTGGAAGGAGGTGGTTATGAGAATACGACTTGCATAGGTTGTAACTATATTGAGCAAGTTAGGCAACTACGACTTGGAGTAGGTGACGCCGTAGCAATACAAACTACTTTTCGACAATGCAGTCAAGGTGCTCAGGTTTTTACTTCAGCATGGATTTGGATGACGACTCGCATCTTAGGAATGTATTTTGGGCAGACAATCGATCTAGGCAGGCATTTAAGGAGTTTGGGGACGTTGTTACATTTGATACCATCTACCTGACCAATAAGTATAACATGCCATTTGCCCATTTTGTGGGCGTAAATCATCACGGACAATCAGCACTGCTGGGTTGTGGTTTGGTGTCGAACGAGGATACAGGTACTTTCGTGTGATTTTTCACAGAATGGTGTTCGCGAAATATTTTCTTTCGATTTTAAAACACCGCAAGTGTACGGTTCGTTAACAAGTAATAAAGTGGAATCAATGAGTCCGAATA